AAAGATTCACTGTTAGTCCCATTAACTGAGATGGTGAAGGCAGTAAGAAGAATGGAATTGGAGGGAATATCAGTAATTCAGTTTTGATCATGTTATTCGATGCCTATGAGACATCTACTTGAAATAGGCCTTTGGAGATGAGCCTGGAGCTCAGAGAAATGTGGGCTGGTATGTGGAGAAGGGAATTAAAGAATTGGTGTGGAGGTATCAGAGTAAGTGAACTGGTGGTGTTCAGAGGGTTAGATGCTGGAAATCAGAATTATGGACATGGAGCAGTTATTGGTGACAGGAAGTTCTAGGGGAAGGCGTAACTGGGACATAGGAACAGCTTGTTGGAGAAAAGAAGAAGTTGAGATTGAAAGACAGGGTATTGGATGGATCTGTGTACATGGGTGATGAAGTATGGAAAATTAGTGACAGGATGGGGAGTGAGTGAGGTGTTCACCTCTTCAGTGAATGAGGGGAGTGATCAGGAAGACAGCACATACTTGCAACAGGAGAGGTATCAGTTGTGATAATCCGGCTGACCTGGGGAGGAGAAAGGTGACCTGGAGATGATAGGACACAAAGGAGGATAAACTCCCCTTCCAGGTGCTGTGTTAATGGGAGGGCAAGAAAACACTATGGTACACCTCACATAAGATCAATGGTCCATCTTAGCACTTAAAAACCGTGTAGCATTAATTACAGTTTGAATTTTTGACTTTGCAACAGCTCAAGTTGTTTGCCTAGCTACTGTCTAGATTGGTAAGGGATCATTCAGTTCTATTTTAGATGAGTGGTTCTCTCTTTCATCCCTCACCTGGGTGAATGCAGTGTCTGCTCACTGGCCCTTTGCTTGCACTCCTGACCTCATTGTGGTCTGCTCTCCATACAGAGGCCAAAATGACCCATTTGTCTAGAGAAGGAACAATTGAGCTGAGCATTACTATAATTTGCCTCCATTTTTTGCTGTAACAGCTGTATACTGTTAGCTGACATGCATGGCAGGAGGAACTCAATTTAGACATCATCTCATACTTTTACCATCTACGTGATCTAAGGATTTGGTCAGAATTGAGGTGAGCCATTTTAAGTAATAGTTATCCTTCCTAACATCTGTATGTATGACAATAATAAAATGTTAATATTACCTTGAAAACCACATGATCTTTGAGCTGCACTTGAGGAAGTATGTAATTATGGCACTTTATTTGCCCTCATCTAGTACATCATAAAGCAAACAAGTAGAATTTGAGAATGACATGGCTTAATGTTTGTGTCATTTAGCATACAGGAGGTACGTGTGTAGATATCAGATTACTTAATTCTTTTCACTTGGTTGTTAATAAAATGTTGGCACTTTAGTGCATATTGTCATACTTTTTTATGATGATAAATTGTAGTAGCATTTATATTAATTTTCTAGATGAAGAAACAGATTGAGAGAGGTTGGAAGATTTACCCAAGTACATAATGATAAGATGAAGTAAAGACGTAAACTACCGTATTCTGATACCAAATCCTGTGTTTTTCCACTGTTACAGTTCTCACTTCCTGCTAATAGAGGAATTTGAGGCCAACGGCATTAGTCTAGACTCTGATAAAAAGGTTTTGTTATGATGTTAGCATTTTCTTCTTTGGCTCACTTCTAAAATAAGTAGGTGGAATTATGGCAGTGTGATGGTGTTTTAGCTTTTGATGTAAGACTTTGTTCTTTAGATGAGGCTGATGGTTCCTAATTTCACGACAACCGTCTTTTTCTACAGGGTATCCAGGCTTAACTTTTTTTTTGGTCTATTAGACATCATTTATTTGTCAAACTTGGTATTTTTTTCTCCTCTTAATAAGTGCTTTTAATCAACATGAGAACTGATTTCTCACTGAGTTGATAGTGTCAGCTAAAAGCAAAGTGACATTGTTTTTGTTAGCCAGTATTGTTTTATGTGACAAATGTATAATTTTTTTCATTATTGAAATATTTGAAGTAGTTTTTGCATACCTTTAAGAGTCCCAGGGGCCCTCCACCCCCCAAATTAAGAGCAGTTGGAGATCTTATTTTGGAGTAGGATGTGTAAAGGTGTTAGCAGTAAAGATGATGCTTACTGGCTTCCTCCTAGCATATATTTTCCTCTTGATTCTCTTAGAGCATTGTATCCTTTTACTTAGGATAATGGGTTGTGGTATAACTGATGCATCCACTTTCTGTATAATGCATGCCTGCCATGCTCCAGGGACTCCCCACTAGATTTGGGGGATTCAAAGAGTAAATACCCTGTAATCCCTGTCTTTGAAGAGCTTATGCTAGTGTAAGAGGGAGACAGCATTGCTCTCTGAGTATAGTAGTAAGGTCTTAGTCACAGTGAGATGACTGGTGGTGGTCAAAGGAACCTTAGCAGAGGACACAGGTCTGGTGATTACAGGATAGGCTATGGAATCCGGTAGTTCTGGTTTTGAATCCCAGTTCTGCTGTTAAAGAATCATATGACTTAGGGCAAGTTAAATCACTTCCCTAACAATATTTTTCTCATCTGTAAAATGAAGATAATATCTACTTTCTAACTTTGTAAAGATTTGATAAGAAAATGGAAAGGACTCAGCAGCACATGATAGGTACATAATAGCTGCTCACTAAGTCAAAGCTGCAGTTGTTACTACTGCTGTTCCTGCTGCTGCGGCTGTGACTCTTACCTTTAAGGGTGTGTAGGGTTAGCTAGATAGAGAAAGGCAGAGGAGAATGGGCTTTCTAGAGACAGGAAAGAGGGTAACAGAAGACATGGTGACCAAAGACATTTGAGGAATAAAGTAATAGTAACGACTTTAAAGATTATATTGAAATTAAAATACGTCATACATGTATAGTAAAGCACATAAGCACTCACAAGTAGAGTCTGTTTTTAATCCACTTTATCCCCTGTGTAATTCCTTTTTTACACATCTGGGTTCTTTTTGCATCTCTCAATCTCTATGGTTTCCTTCCCTGATTTCTTTTCTACTTGATGTGATATTTCAAGATGTGTTGGACATCTTTCAGAGTATAGTTGTCTGTTCTCACTTCTCTGATCTTTTCTGTTGGAGAACTAGAAGCTCTTCTGGCTTCCTCTGTCACTGTCACACAGATGACTTTCAGATGTGTCAGTTGCCCCGACCTCTTTCCTAGGTTCCTCTCAATGAGATCTAATTGGCCTCCTAAAATTTCTACGTGACACATCCACCTACCCTTCCTTAATGGTTTCATTTGTTCAGTTTCAGAAAATACTGGAAGGGGACTGATCTACATTTGTCAGATCTTTACTTTGGCAAGCAGTGATATTTAAGAAAATGATCAAACTCCCATGTACTACATTTCATACAGAAAAGAACATTTTAACCTAAAAGTTTAGAAAGATGGTAATCTTAGAATTTAAAAATATGTAGCTTTAAAACTAATGTAGTGAGTACTTCATTATTTTTCTTTTTGCTTCAGATTAATGAAAATGTAATAGATAATAAACACTGCTTTGGAGTAAGCCTTATTCTGTCTTGACATTGATCTGTCCAAACTTTGACTTTGATCATATTTTCCAGTGCTTAAAATGGCTCACCACTGCCTAACAGAAAGAAAGAAAAAAAAATCCTAATTTCTTAGGCCTTTACAATTTGATTCCAGCTCTCTTTTCTAGTCTTTCCTCTCATCATATTTCTCTTTTATCAACTTAAAAAAAAATTGAATGTTGTTTGAATTGGACCCGGATTCAAATCTGACCCTGTCATTAGCTGTTTGGTCTCCACAGGTTACTGTAATGGGAAGGAGGAAAGCAGCCCTCGGCACCCGAGAGCTGCATGGGGCTGTCAGCTAGGCCTCAGTGATGCTGCGAGCTAGCCCGGCGCTTAGAGCTGGTTCTTGGTGTTCCGTTGAAAACAATTTCAGTGACCGTCAGCATCAGAAAAGGCCATTCTGTGACCACGATGGGTCAAGACAAAAACAAGTCCATGCCATCATCATGTCTGAACACAAACAAAACATGGTCATTGTCCAAGTCACAACATTTCCAGCGTCCTCCTCCCCAGACTAACATCAGTTAGGGTTTCTGCTTTATCAATTCCAGCTTTATCTTCCTTCTAGGGAGCCTTCCTATAGAGATGTGTTGAGAAACCCATTCATAGCATTGTCTCGGCTTTCTGACAGCACCCACGGAACAGTAAACCTCTGCTTCTTTGTACTCTCACCCAAAATCACCTAGCCAAGTTCCAAATCCTAAGTAAGTCTGTTCTAATACCCCCTTACTGAGTCACCCCACAGTTTCCCATGGTGTGTGTTCCTAATAAACCCAACTTGTGCAACTGCTGTGGGGGTGGAAGGTATTGACAGTAACTACTTTGAGCCTTATTTTTTTCTCATATGGAAACCAGGAGTAACGCCATCTGTTTTGCAGAGTTGTTATGAAGGTTAGATGGGAAAACGGAAAGCACATAGAGTCCCTGCACTTTATAGATACTCAACAAAAGCTTGTTTCTTGTCCTCTTGTAAAGTGGTCTGTTGTGATCTCTTGAACAGGGCTCCTTGTTTTAACCCTTTCTTACCCATGAGTGCCCTGTTCTCCTCCTTCAAGACTACGTCCAGATACCTTCTATTCTGTGAAACCTTTACATCTTTTAATGCTCTCTTCTGTCTCTGACCTTCAGATATTATTGTTTTCACCATTGACTTGACTATTCATCGTACTCTACCTTGCGGCATCTTTGTACATACCTTTTATTATTGAATTCTTGATTTTTCATGTACTTATGCCTTGTTTGTTCAGTTAAAATGTTCTTTAAGAATGAGGGCTCTGTTTAAATAAGAGCCTTTGAAACCAGTCAGTTACTTTATAGGGACTAATTTCTTCACATTTGTTATAGTATGTTGTACTCAGAAAATGCTTAAACATGATCAAAGTAAAACAGAAGGGAGAGAATATACCAGTCTTTTACCTCTGAATATTGTGAAATTTGCCTAAACCAGATACTTGGTTCATAACTTTTTGCATCTTCTTTCCTAGATAACACAATGGTGGGCGAAGAGATGTCTCTAAGAAAACGGCTGTCAAAGTCCAGTGACGATCCTGAAGAAAAGGAAGACCAGGGGAACCCTGCAAAGCAGGCCCCAGAGAAACATCGATCAGCTGCCTCCTGCACATCTCCCACTGGGGATGTGCCCGCAACCCAGGTACATGCCCTTGACCGGAATCGAACCTGGGACCCTTCAGTCCTCAGGCCAACGCTCTATCCACTGAGCCAAACCGGTTTCGGCAAGGAACACCAATTTAATTGTCAGTCACAGCCACCTTAGATACTACTGGTGACATAGCACATCTCATAGAGGTGAGCTTTATTGATGTAAATGGAGTTTGCAATGTATACTTTAATGTAGGATTTATATTACATAGTGTTTCGTGTAATGAATAAATTAGAAAAACAAGCTCTTAATTAATTCAGTGAATATTTTTTGGGTATCTACTATGTTTTAGACACCATTCATCCATTTATTCATTTCTTCAACCACCTAACCTACCAATAATGATTGGTGCCCTGCTAGGAGCTGAGGCTTACAGCAGTGATCAGTCCTCATGGAGCTCTGAGTTAAATGAATAAGAAACCCTCCCTTTGCAATTAACATAATTGGATTTTTATGGATAAGTGCTACTAATTACTCTCTTAATATAGTTGTAATGAGCCTGAAAGTAATAACCAGGATAACTAACCTAGTTCACTACTGGGTTATAAATCTTGGGAGAGGTAGAGAGATTAGGAAGTTTTATTCTTATATCCAAGTCTGTTTAGCACACGAATACAAAGATAAGTATGACATAGTACTTGTTAAGGTCAAGGTTTATATTTAAGATTGATTGCTCCAACTTATGTCATTTATTGCCTCAGGCTATTTATTTTTGCAATGACATTTGTATAGGTTTCATTTCAACATGGATTTGAAAGTTTGAGGCTTGTTTGGTTAACAAATAGAAGTGAAACTTTGAGACAAGTTGTCTGGCACCATGAACTTCTTAAATAAAGAAACATTCTTTTGCTTTTCCTACTTAAGTTTAATTGTAAATATGAGCAGCTGGATCCCCAAAATGTTTCAGCTTACATTTGCATAATGAAGTGTATTGATTGCTGTATTCTTAGTTAGCTACTTACGAAATATTTATATTGCATATGGTCTAGTTTTAGTGTGACATAAAATGGGAAATTTGAGCCAACATTGGGTAGAAACATTCCCCTTTCATGATTTAGGGACTGGGTGATAATCCATTTTGTTTGTCTTAGAGACAGAAAAATTACTTTTTATTGAAACTGTCTGTCACCAGATACAATTTTCTCTTTATGTCCCAATTTAAAAATGTGTTTAAATTACTCTAATTCTACATATTTTCAGTACTCATTGTTTAGTTTATTAAGTTTTAATTATTCCAAGTTTTAGATATTAAAAATTGAATTTTTAAGCTTACTAGTAAATTAAGTATGACCTCCTTCTTGGATCAATGTTAAGTAATGCTCATCTGAAAATAGATTGTGATTCTCTAGTTATTTAAATATTTGGTCACTTTGGGGAATAAGCAGGTGGGTAAAATGTAGCCTTTGAGTTTTAAGGACTTAAAAGACACCATGCTACGCCAGACCGTGTGGCCCACCAACCACGACCCAGAACATCTGCACCACCCGGTAGCTTATTAGAAACATCCCACCTCACATTTACTGAATAAAATTTCATTTTAATAACATTCTCAGGCGATTCATATGCAGGTTAAAGTTAGAGACATGCATCTTACTGGCAGAATACCTAGACCTAGCATTCTGCCATTGGGGCATTTATTAGTCAGGGCCTTTCAGAGAAACAAAACCAAACGGATATATGTAGATACATAGAAAGATTTATCATGAGGGATTGCCTCAGGTGGAGGCTGAGCAGTCCCACAATCTTCTGTCGACACCAGGGGAGCCAGTGGTGTAGTTCTAGTCTAAACCTGAAGTTCGAAGTCCTGAGAATCAAAGAAACAGGAGCGGCATTGTCCCAGGGCAGTCAAGCGAGAAGAGCCTACGTGTCCTTCCTTTGCCTTTCATTCTGTTCAGGCCCCCAGCACTGGAGAGGGCGTTCTTCACTCAGTCCACTGATTCAACTGCTTATCTCTTCTGGAAACACCCAGGCATAATGTTTTACCAGCTCTGGGCTTCCCTTAGCCTGGCCAGATTGACATACAAAGTTAACCATCAAAGCGCATGTATAATTACTGTAGAATGAAAAGAAACCACCCAACAAACCAAAACAGCTTCTTGGACCCCATTATAGATCTACTGAAGCAGAATCTCGGGGGAAGGGTCCAGGAATAGTAAGTTTGGAAAAGCTCGCTGGATAGTGCTGATTCACATCGCTGGCTGTGAACCACTGGGATCAAGAACTCTGAGATTCAGCTAGAACTACCTTGTGATATATCACTTTGAGGTAACCCCATGACTTTTCCCCATTAAACTCAACATATGTAACTCTTCGATTCTTATTCCGTGGTTTGTAATTCTAGTAACCTATGGGTAGGGTGACTTTGTCTTAATTTGCTCAGGTTAGTCTCAATTTTTACCTGTGTCCAGCATAATTCTTTATGTTGTCTCCTTGCATTCTTAGAAGTGCCCCAGTTTGTTAGATAAATTATATGATTACCCAACCTTTGGTTTATTGAATTAATAGCGACCATTATAGTGATTTTACAGTATTTAGTTCACATTTTCACAAAAATGTGCTTAGTTTATCCAATGCCTATCAGGTGAAATAATGATTCATTAGACTCAAAATTCTGTCATTGAGAAATGAGTATATGTCCTTCCAGAGATATTTAATTTCCATAAGTGAGTAACATTTTACAAAATAGAATATTTTACATGCTGTTTAGTAACTGGGATCTTCAGCACATTGTAGATGTCTTCCCATTGTCAAGTAATAGATAAATGGCTATCAAGTATTGTATTTTATACACTATACTATTTACTTGTTTCTCTGATGAATATTTAAGTGGTTCCTTTTTTTTCTGTTATAAAGAAATGGTAATGAATATTTCTACGTAATTGTCAGATGCCAAAGAGGAATTGCAGGGCTAAAGGATGTTATTTTTAAATATTTATTTTGATACATAGTATTGGATTGCAACATTTACCTTATAAACTTATCCTATGTGTTTTTGTTGTTACTATGCCTGTTTAAATTTTTGTTGTTGTTGACTGTTTAAATTTTAAAAACCTTATTTCTTCCTTACTATTTCTTTTCATGACACAGTGTACCTGTCATTTCGGCTCTTTCTAATTTGCATCTCATGTAATACTCTATGGAATGGTTCGTACTAGAAGTAAATAGAAATGAGAACCCTGCATAACTTGATAGGAAAAGCCAAAATTTAGAATCTTCCCTAGACCTAATAGTATTCTGCCATTTACCAGTTCTGTCTTTACCCTAAATGTGGAAATATGATTTGAGTAGGGATTGGTCTAAATTCTTTTTCTTTCTTTTCCTCCTCATTTTCTTTTCTCCTCTAAATCTTCTTTTCTCCCCATTTGGCCCCTTCTCCTCTTCCTTTTTTTCTTTTCCTTTCATTCCTTCTAATATTTTTATTGATATAATTTACAAACCATAAAATTCACCATTTTCAGAAGTACAATTCACTGGTTGTCAGTACATTTACATTTTACAATCACATTCGGAAAATTTCCTGAGGTGGAGCCCTCCTGGAGGACAGTGGCTAGAGACCAGAGACAGAGGCTGGAAACTCCAAAATTACAACCAAGTGAGGGAAGGCAGGGCATAGCAGGGTGTTGGACGCCAGCAAGAATGTGCATCTATCTCCATTTATTGCACAAAAGGGCTGGAACCTTGATATAGAGAGCTTCCAGGAACACAGGTGGCTTGTGGTTAAGAGCTGTATATTCCAAGGCAGTAACAGTTCAATGGACCTGTTTTGTAAGAACATTCCTTTCAGGTGATACAGGCTCACCCCTCTCAGGGTGAGCAGCTTGCTGCTTAAGATGGCCTTGTTCACACCAAGCAACAGAAACCATTTGTCTAACATATTATCATCATTGTTTAATTACAGAATATTTTTATCATCTCCAGCAGGAATCCTATGCTCTTTAACAGTCACTCTCCATGCTCCCCTTCTTCCAGCCCTGGCCACTACTCATCTATTTCTTGTCACTTTATATTTGCCTGTTCTGGGCATTTTCTACGATGGGGATCATAGAACATGTGGTCTTTTGTGTCTGGCTTCTTTCACACAGCATAATGTTTTCCATGCTTTAGCATGTATTAGTTACTCCATTCTTTTTTTAGGGTTGAACATATTCCACTGTATGGATATACTTACTGCATTTTGTTTATCCATTTATTAGTTAGTATTTATCATTTGGTTGTTTGGGTTGCTTACAGTTTTTGGCTATTAGGAATAATGCTGCTGTTCACAGTTTTGTGTGAACATATGTTATCACTTCTCTTGGGTATATACCTAGAAGTAGAGTTGTTGAGTCATGGTAAATCTGTGTTTCACTTTTTGAGGAATTACCAGATTTTTCCAAAGCAGCCACCCCATTTTATATTTCCACCAGCAAGGTGTGAGCGTCCCAATTTCTTCTTATCCTCACCAATCCCTGTTATTATCTGTCCTTTGATGATAGCCACTGTAATGGATGGAAAGTGGTATTTCATTGTGGTTTTGAATCGCATTTACCTGATGGTCAGTGATGTTGAGCACCTCTTCATGTGCTTATTGGCCATCTTTGTATATCTTTGGAGAAATTTCTTTCAAGTTTTTGTCCACTTAAAAATTATTTTGTTTGCCATTTTTAATTGTGTTAAGAACTTACCTAACAATTTTCACATTAACTATTATTAAGTGTACAGTTCAGGAATGTTAAGTAGATTGTTGTGCACCAGATCTCCAGAACTTTTCATCTTGTAAAACTGAAGCTATATCCATTAAAAAACTCCTCATTTCCCCAGCTCCTGGTAACCACCATTCCATTTTAGGTCTAGAATTTGACTCCTTTAGATACCTCAGACAAGTGAAATCATACTGGCATAATGGCTTAGTTCCCTTGGAATGTCTTCAAGATGTATCTGTGTTGTAGCATGTGGT